CCAACAGACAGTAATATACTAATTGTAGAGCAAGTTCTGCAGAAAAAATATCGAATTGATGGAAAGTGTCAGAACAGGAACAAGACTTGCCTACTCAGAATGTCAGTATCAGTTTCGTCATCGAAGGTTTCTGTTTTTTTCTTTACAGATCAAATGTGTGCTAAAAGAAACAAAAAAAAAAAAAAATTAAAAAAATATTGATGCTTAAAAAAATAATCTTAAATTATACAAAGTTTTTGCATATTGGATGTACACTAATTTTTTTTTTGTAGATGGAACTGTACAATGATTAATCCAAAAACTTATGAGGTATTCGGTGAGGCAATTCTTAAAAAAGGTACACAGGAAGCAGCATTTGTTCATGCAATCACAGCGGCTGGAGTCGCCTATCAGCTGACGACGTCAGTAATATTTACCATAATGTTGGGAACAGCAAAAATTTCTTAGAATTTTTTTTAGATATTTTATTTTCAAATTTACCTGCTAAAAAAAAAACATTAAAATATGATAACATATAAAATAGTGGTAAATATTGCTAAATGAAATTATCATAGCTTATTTTATTTTCCTTGTTTTTTTTGAAACTCTGACGTCAACATCAAATCGTTGTTACTGCTCTGTTTGTCAAAATTTTTTTTCATTACAACCACATAACTTCATTTTTTTTTGCCTTTAATAGTATCCAATAATAATAATAATAATAATAATAATAATAATAATAATTAATAATAATAATAATAATAATAATAATAATAATAATATAATAATAATAATAATAATAATAATAATAATAATAATAAGAAGAGTTATGCAACTGGTCATTATTGTTTAGGGATTGCTCAAAGGGTTTGATCAGTATATGTGGTTGTGATCAGACAGCGCAAATGAATAACAATGATCCCAAAAAATACGTCTTTAGTGGTTGTTCAGATAATGTTCGTTATGGAACCCTATCGTCCAAAGAATTTGTTGACGCCGGTGATCGTGGAAAGCATAAGAACAACAGTGTACAACGTGCAATGAATTTACATAATAATAATGCCGGTCGTGAGGTTTTGTTTAAGGCTTTGTGCATAAAATTTTGATTCTTTTTTTTTTACTTGTCAGAAAAAAAAAAAAGAGAAAAGAATCAAATCTAAATGAATTATTTCTGGTCATATTGCTGAAACAAACATCTGTACACCTGTCCGCCAAAGATGTTGTTAATTTTTAGTAATAACACTGCTCCAAATCAGTTTTCCTCTACTCGTAAATTCCAGCTTTTTCAGGTATTAATCCAAAATATTGAAGAAAAATGTAAGTGTCATGGAATGAGCGGTTCATGCAACATGAAAACTTGTTATAAAAAAATGCCGTCTTTCAGGTATCTGTCGGTGAAACTCTTCTAAACTTTTATTGTCTTATGTTCGATTTAGACAGAATTGAAATAATTTGGGTCTAACAATATGCACAATTTTTGTTTTCTTTTTAATAGAAAATCAAGAAATACAGAAGAGTGAATATACTTTGCTTAAAAATTTCTTGTCTTTTAGAAAAGCAGTAGTAGAAGATCATTGTTTATTGTTAGATTGATTAACTGTTTAAAGTTAAGACTGTTTTGAAGGTTTTAATTCTTTAATCATCTACTTTTTTCTAAAAAAACATTCGTTAAATTTTATGTATTTAAATGACTGCAAAAAAAAATTGAAAATAAAAAAATTTTTTCTTTTTTATCTTTTTTTTGTCACAAAACAATTGAAAACAAATAATTATTTTTGCTAACAGTCATTTGGGCATTCAGTGTCAATGATGTTTTCTTTTCTGTGTTTTTTTTAGTAAAGTAACCGATTATCAAAAAAAAAAACAGATATGAAAAAACAGAAATAATAAAAAAGGAAACAAAAGAAGAAGTAATGTTTAACTTGATCAAACAAGCAATAGTGCACTTTTTTTGATTAGGTATTTTAAATGTTTTTTGTACCATCTGTATAACCGGTACCAATTTTTAATTGTTTCATTATGCTTAAGGAAGGTTGGTGCTATTCTAAAAGAAAAGTTCGATGGAGCAACCGAAGTAAATGTTGAACTTGAAGAAAGTAGGCCTGTAATTACACGACGAGATCTGCAGTTCAAAAAACATACAAAAGCTGATTTGGTAAAATTTAACGGCAAAAAAAAAAAGTGCTATCAATTGATTATTAGTTTTTAAATTTGTAGTTGATAAATTTAACACAAATGTTACAAATCAAAATTGAAGACACTTATAGTTTTTTTAAAATTTTCATGGTAACCACACAGAAAGAGAATCATTTGCGGTCACTGTTTTCTTTTTTTTTGTTTCTATCAATTAAGAAAAGTAAAAATTTTTCACATATTTTAAAAGTTTATTCTACTTTCAAAAGCTCTTTTTTTTTTTTGCAGGTATACAGTGATCCATCGCCAGATTTCTGTGAACCAGATCCAGAAAATGGTGTTCTTGGAACACACGGTCGACAGTGTAATACCAGTTCACTGTTTCCTGATGAATGCAGTCAGGTATCAATTTGTTGAATACATAAATGTAGAAGAAATTTCTTGACTATAAATACTTTTTTTTTTTAAATTTATTCATAAAAAACAGAAATTATTGCTTTTTCCTAAACTGTTGTATCAACAAATATCACTGATCAACGTCTGCAGCTCTAATTCTTGGGTTTTTTTTTGCGATTAAGAAAATTTTTGCTTATTTCAAAAAGTCTATTTTACTTTTTTGAATAAAATTTTTTGGTTTTTTCTTCGTTATTAAGTTAATTATACAAAAAAAAGCTGTA